GCCGCAAAGCAATTAGCAAAAAACAACCAGGCTTTTTATTCAAAGTGCCAAATGTCTACACCCCGACGGTAAACGGTGTAGCTGTAGCTTGTGGCCAGTAGGGGGCAGTGTAACTTCCTCAACAACATCCTCCTCAGGCCAAAGATGGGAAAGGACCAACATCGTTCTGCATTTAACGGCAGCAGTGACAATAGAAAGTGAAACTACAATAAACCGAAAGAGACCATTGAGAGAGGCCAGAGAGAACCCAGAGAAAGACAAGAGAGAAAACAGAGAGAGAGACCAGAGAGAGACCAGAGAGAAACCAGAGAGAGAGACCAGAGAGAGACCAGAGAATGACAAGAGAGAAACCAGAGAGAGAGACCAGAGAGAGACCAGAGAATGACAAGAGAGAAACCAGAGAGAGAGACCAGAGAGAGACCAGAGAAAGACAAGAGAGAAACCAGAGAGAGAGACCAGAGAGAGACCAGAGAGAGAGACCAGAGAGAGACTAGAGAGAAACCAGAGAGAGAGACAAGAGAGAGACCAGAGAGAGGCCAGAGAGAGACCAGAGAGAAACCAGAGAGAGAGACCAGAGAATGACAAGAGAGAAACCAGAGAGAGAGACCAGAGAGAGACCAGAGAGAGACCAGAGAAAGACAAGAGAGAAACCAGAGAGAGAGACCATTGAGAGAGGCCAGAGAGAACCCAGAGAAAGACAAGAGAGAAACCAGAGAGAGAGACCAGAGAGAGACCATAGAGAAACCAGAAAGAGACTATAGAGAAACCAGAAAGAGAGACCAGAGAGAGAGACTACAGCTGTGGTTTGTTTTGAACGAAGGAATCCTCCTCCGTTAGCGAAGCCTCTGGACACAGCTGCAGGTTTCCCATCACATTACTAACCAGGTGTTGTGCTGCTTAACTTCAGAGGACTGATTTGATCAGGCTTTCACATTCAGCTGGCACCTCATTAAAAGTACATTAACTTGTCGAGGTGAAAACCACTCTGCAAACTACTTTGGTACAATGCAAATCGTTTCAACCAATCTTTCAGTCAGAGTCTCAACCGATGCAAACTGGTCTCTCACTTCAATTCAACCAAAATCAGTTTATTCAATTGGATTGGTCCACACACAATTCTTGGGTTTCATATGACGTCAGGACAGTGGATAACAAACGTAGGACAGGACGTGACGTATCCTGGGGGTGCAGTCTGCCGGGTTTATACACAGAGATATAGTAGAAGAAGAAGTGGTTTATACACAGAGGTATAGTAGAAAAAGAAGCATATTTTTGTGCGGTGTACGCTCGTAGCAACCGCACAAATAGAGAGAAAGACCAGAGTTTGTTCATTTTCCAACTGTGGTCTCATATAAAGGAGGACACTTTGAAAAAATCACTGGAATGAGGCGGAGGTGGATCAAGGCTTTCCCAGATAAGCGCCCCCTGCAGGCCACCCCAATGAAACGCAGCAATTTCTTTTTTTTATTTTTATTTTTTCAAAAAATGCCCGAAATCAAGACTCTTTTGAGGAATATTTTGAAGTACTTCCTTAGAATTGAGTGTCCCCGATTAAGACTGTTCCAACAACCGTACACCGCACAGGAGGAGAGCCTTTGACTCCAAAACAGACTTTACATGGTTTTCAATGAGAGCAACACTGTCCCATCTCTGCTCGTGCGCCCCCTACAGGCCAGTTTAATGAAACCCAAGAATAAAGCATGATGGCCATACTTGGTTTGTTTTAAACCAGCCGTCTTTTCACTTCTCAGCAAAAAGCTCCTGGGTTCAAATCCCGGTTGGCACATGGACTTTCTGAGTAGTTTTTAGGTGTGTGTGGCGCTCCTCTTGTCCGCTGGTTCATTGTATTGTCTTTGCTTGTTCATGTCTTTGTTCCCGGTTCCGTTTTTTGTCTTACCTCGGACTTTAGTTCTTTTTCATCATTAAATCCTGCATTTTGAGTCCTCCGTCATCTCACTTGTCACAATGCCGTGAAGTTTACATTACCCTATTTGTTAAATCTCCTGCACTCTGAGGCGCAGCAGTCAAATCCCACTTTCAACTTTAGCATTAGCATGTTAGCGCAGCACGCCTCGCACCGGGTAAGTCTGCGGTCTCTGAGGGGTTTCTGTCGACTTTAATCTGACTCGTGAGGACAGACAGTTACTGGAACACGGGTAACTCAATACTTTTTTTTATTGGTTTCAGCTCGATGTAAAAAAGAAGGTGAGGCAGACTGGAGTTGTTATCGGGAGGTCATTATCCCACTGAGAAAGACCTCCGGCAAAACATTGTTCAAACTTACTACGCACTCGGGAACAAGAGCAGACAGGACAGAGAGAGATCGCAGACTCACAGTTAATAATCACAGCACATTAAAATAGTCAAAATACAGTTCTTCAGGTATAAACACAGCTGAAAAGAGCTGATTTTAACTTGAATATTGTCAGAGAAGAAGCCTGTCTCACATTATCAGGAAGACAGTCCTAGATTTTAGCTGCGTAAATCTGAATCTTTGCCTTCCCCATGTTTATTATTACTGTACCTGCCACTACTACTACTTGTGCCGCAGTGGGGTAGCTGTAAAGTGCCACAGTATTGATGTGTCCTTAGGCAAGACACTTCCCACATTATAATGAGTCTGGTGTGTGTGTGTGAATGATAGACGGCTGTACAAATCCTGAGGGATGGGGGAGCTCAACTCGACGGGCAGACCGACTCGACAGAACACCGGCACAAAGCTACGGAACACATGCCCATATAAGGAAATTGGCTACAGCTAGCTTACGTTCAAACCGGCCTCTTCCACATTTAGGTTCATGTTAACACTAATACACGGTCTATGGTCCAAAGTTCCATGAGTCTGGACTTTCTTTTGAATGATCTCGGCGACAGTGGTTCAGGTGGTAGAGAATTGGTCTTTGAATGTAATGGTTGTGGGTTCAATCCCCCAACGACCCACGTCATCTGCTCCCACTGATGTCCCTGGGTAAGACACTTAACCCCGCTTTGCCTGAACCCCCCGCTGAAAGACCAAGCCCTTGTCTAAGCAGGGACTGGTGCTTTGAGACTTGGGCGGCAGCTCTGATTGCCCCGCCCCTGACCCAGACGTGGATTCAACGTTTTTCTAAAAGCCTGTGCAAGACTATCTATTAAGGGGCGTTCACACCGGACTTAACTTCGGCGTCAAAAGCGTCAGGTTTCCATTGAAAGTGAATGGTGAAGCGCGTCAGGTGAAGCCGAGGGGCCCGGCGTCACTTGACGCGCGTCAAAAGCTTCAAGAGTTGCGCGTACTACGCGCTCACTTGAAGCTTTTGATGCGCGAAACGCTCGCGTATCACAACAATCCCTTTGACGCCGAAGCTGAGCAAAGCTGAGCTTTTGAAGCTTTGACGCGGGCTTCAACCAATCAGGAGACGAGGAGCAGCAGCAGAGGGTCTGTCTCTGTCATGGAGAGAAGTCATGTATCTGCTGCTGCTGTTTTATTGTCATTATTGTTATTAGTAATATTATTTGTATGAGTAGTAACGTTCTGAGTAACAAAAATCATTGTACACATGCTGTGTAGTAAACCTAGTTTATTTAAAATAAGAACAGGCTGACGATGAGTCTGGCTCAGAGCAAGGCAGCTCTGGGCGGGCGAGAGCCGGGGAGAGGCGAGCGAGATCCGGGGAGAGGCGAGCGAGAGCCGGGGAGAGGCGAGCGAGAGCCGGGGAGAGGCGAGCGAGAGCCGGGGAGAGGCGAGCGAGAGCCGGGGAGAGGCGAGCGAGAGGCAGGGAGAGGCGAGCGAGAGCCGGGGAGAGGCGAGCGTGAGCCGGGGAGAGGCAGGGAGAGGCGAGCGAGAGCCGGGGAGAGGCGAGCGTGAGCCGGGGTGAGGCAGGGAGAGGCGAGCGAGAGCTGGCGAGAGGCGAGCGAGAGCCGGGGAGAGGCGAGCGAGAGCCGGGGAGAGGCGAGCGAGAGGCAGGGAGAGGCGAGCGAGAGCCGGGGAGAGGCGAGCGTGAGCCGGGGAGAGGCAGGGAGAGGCGAGCGAGAGCCGGGGAGAGGCGAGCGTGAGCCGGGGAGAGGCGAGCGAGAGCCGGGGAGAGGCGAGCGTGAGCCGGGGAGAGGCAGGGAGAGGCGAGAGCGAGGCAGGGAGAGGCGAGAGCGAGGCGGGGAGAGGCGAGCTCCGGGGTTTGAGAACTCAGACCGGTGCGAGTGACATGCGGAAGTACCGCTGAAAGCGAAACTCCTCCGTACGCAGCTCCTGGAGTAAATGACGGAACTCTGCAAACACTGCAGCCTCTCAAGTCTGTGGTGAACCCAGAACATGTTTTGTTGAAGCCCTACAACAACGTTATTTTGTTTTATATAACAAATAAAGGCTCGCTGCTCATTGAAAAATCCACCGCTGTCCTGACAACAGAGAACAGAGAAGCTCCTCCCACAGACAACAGAGAAGCTCCTCCCACCGGCGTCAGGCGCGTCACTCGCGTCAAAAGCTCGCGTCAAAAGCACCAAAATGACAAAACTATCCCGGCGTCAGTTGAAGCGCGTCAAAAGCTTTTTGAAGCTTTTGGTCTGAACGCGCCTTCATACTCAAAATCAATAGTTGTTGTTTTTGTATTATTATTTGTATCTGTATTTTGAATTATTATTTGTATTACTACACACACACACACACAATTACAGAAGTAAATAGACTTTTGAACGACATTCTAGCGTTCCTAGTTCCACCTGTATGTTCTGAACAATGTGAGATATAGCAGTTATATGGTCATTGCTCTTCTTGCTCCTGTGTCTCGCACTAATCAGATGTGATAAAAGTGTGATTACAAAAGAATCCGTGGCTTAGTCTTGTTCTAAACTCCTCAATCTTGCGACGAGACGAGGCCAACATCTGTGCGTGTTGCTGAGGCTCATTGAGATGCATGAGCCGCTGCTGTCAAGACCAATCAATCACTGCTAAATGACGCTTTATTGTCCTCTGTGTGTCCCGCTGCAGATAAATCTCCTCCGCTGCCGTTTCGCGCCGGTCTTCAACCATGGCCCTGTTTCTCACCGGGGGGGCCGTGCTTACCATCCTCCTCTTCAGCAGGTAAGGCTCCACATCACTCCATCATCATCCTTTAGTTAGGGATCCATGAAACCACTGCAACTCCCAGAACGCTCCCATTTTTTCAATTTTCTCCAGTAATGTATACAACTGTTTACCTTTATTTACTTTGACATAGTGGTAAAACTGGGGAAAATAACTTGAAATACTGATACAACAGTTTCTTGAAAGGCTAAATGCTAAACTGCTGGTCATGAAATTAAATTAGAAATGATCATGGACCAGAGTTTACACATGGCTAATGCTAGGCTACATCGTAAGCCTAGCATTAGCTAACTAAAATCAGTCCAATTGTTGCACTGGGAGTTCTGGTGTTTTACGAAAAAAAAAAATGTGAAAAAAAAAATGTGAGCAGTTGTGTTGGTTTGGCCGGAATTGCTTTTGAGTTGTTTTGAAGTTCAACTTTGGCCGGTGCTAAAAAGATCGCTTTGAGATTTAGAGTTTGGCGTTAAAGTCTGGAAATAGTTTGTGAATGAAATGATGAGGCTTAGTCTGTTTTAGCATTAGCATTAGCATCCTGCTGTTTCATGACGAGGCTTGTGGAAGATTGTTTATGTCAGATTTTGAGTTTTGAATCAGCTTGAATTTTTCCATTTGAAAATTGTAACCCTGAAAAAGCTTGTTTGATTATATTTGTCTTTGCGTTTCAGTCACTAAAGATTCAGTTTCAAAATGACATATATCTGTGTTGTAAATATTCAATATGTTTATTTTCGAGCTTCAAATTCACCTTTGGTTGGACTGTTTAAATGATTATTAATACATATCAAAATTAGGCATAAAAGCTGTTGAACCAAGACCTAACACAGTGGGCCGGATTTTATTTACAGATTAATTGAAACATCCAATATTTTTCTGACTCTGTGTGTCCTTTTAAGTGAAATTATTTTCCACTGGGTTCAAAAACAAACTCCCTTCAAAGAGAAAACACCTGAAAATAAATTATATAATCCAATAATTTCTTAATTCTCTGTGCGGCCAGTTCTAATACTAATCAAATATTCTCCCGGGGCCAAGATCATTCATTTGTGGGCCGGATCTGACCCCCGGGCCTCGACTTTAGCACCCATGCGATACAGAGACACCACAACATCTTGATTTTTCTCTTCTGGCTGTAACACAAACTTGCACATTTCCATTTGACGCACAACCGTTTATGAAGTCGCTGGTCTGTCTCTGCTGTCTTTGGCTGTAGGACGTAAGAAAACAAATGTGTTTTTGTGAGGATTTTGGACCTAAACTTGGAGCCAGAGTAAAACACCGGTATTACAAGTGAACAGACATAAAGTATTAGCATGTTTTAGAATGTTTAAGAATGTTTGCAAATGGAGTTATGTTCTTTTCCACGCCGCCATTGCACGAGTGTCTGGTTTAGCTTCTTTCCTCTGTGTGGAAATCTAATATTCTGGACTCAGGAATTAGTAGCCCAGGGATTTTGACCTATCCTGGATGTGTGTACGTGGATCGGAGAAACCACGGAAATTAAAATATCGGTTGTATTTATTGATTATTGTCATTTCATCTCTCATTAAGACACATAAAGACTTAATTTAACATAAAACAGACAACAAAAATACAGACAGAATCATCGAATTACAAAATCATTGCGCCAGGACTCAAGCCACAATTGAGAAAAAAAAAAACTAAATTTTTGTTGTTTTAAAATGATTGATTCTTTAGAAACTTTTATTTTGTCATTTACGCACTGAGAGTAGAGTGAGGCCTGGTGCTCTGTTTTTAAACTGGAAAAGTTGATCCGAAGACGTGACACAGAGTAAATACCTGTGGAAAATAGTGATAGACTTTTGTGGTTTCAAAGTTAGGGGCTCCAGCTTTAATATGAGGAATAAGAAAGTAGGGATTTGGACTTAACCAAACCGTCACAGTATTAATGTACGAACTTTTACACATGTTACGACCACAAACATAAAAGAGGAGAAATATGCAAACAATGTGGCCAAAAGTGGTACTGCAGCCTCTCCCACAAGAAGCAAACTCAAAACTAAACAGAACAAATATGAAGCAAAATAAAACCAGATTTAAATAACACAAAAGTCCACATCATCACAAAAATTCCATATATTCATTTTTTCCTTCTTACCGTTTCTAAGATGGAGGTCCAGCCATCCATTTTCTTCCCCTTAATCCATTTCTGGGTCGGGGGGGTGGCCGTCAGAGCTGCTCCCAGTACACAGAGCACCAGCCCCTCACTGATCCTCCTGCAGGTGCTGAGTCCACAGGAGCTGAGATCTTCCAGCAGGGGGCTTCAGGCAAAGTGGGGTTAAGTGTCTTGCCCAAGGACACAACGACAACAGTCATCAGTGGGAGTCGTGAAGAAGGTCCTACGGTGGGCTCGAACCCACGACCTACAGGCCCAAAGGCCAATGCTCTACCGACTGAGCCACTGTCGCAAAAAAAACTGCAGTTTCAGTAAATACCATGAAGAGAATCTATTTTGTTTTTAATATTTGCTTTTATCATCAGCTTCAAAGAACACACTCCAGATTCATATAAAGTAAAACATTAAACTTTCTTCATCTCTTTTGGACATGACTGTGACAAACAAATCAAAAAACATGTTTTGTTCTTTACTCACCGGAGTTCAGAGCAGGGGTCGTATGCAATATTTACAATAGGGCACTGTCCGGTTTCCGAAATGTGCTAAAAATAGTTCCAATGACTGCGCATGCGCGCATGTTTCGGACAAACTCTGTCCGACTCCGTTGAGTACTACTGTGTTCTCCACATAAGCGTGTGTATTTATTTGGGCTAAATCATTGAATCATGGTGACAACAAAACACTGCAGTTATGGTGCTTGTGGGAGCGATTTCAGATACTCTGAAAAGGACTATATGAAAGCAGTAACATTCAACCTGTTCGTTAAACCACACCATCGAACCAGACCAGGACCAGACCAGGACAAGTGCAAGAGGTGGGTGCTTGTGGTCAGCAGAATTTCTCTCATGAAAATGTTAAAAAGGACATGTTTTTTCAAAACACTTCGCTGGACCAACTGTGGAGCCTCCAGATCCAGTCCTAGCTACGTTTAGCTGGGACTGGACCTGGACCGCTGTATCAGGTCCGTCTGAGCTCTTCTGAATGTAGTTAGCCCCATCAATCCATATTAGTATTGTTTGTCCTAATCCAGAATGTATACAATTCTCACACCTGAAGAAAGATGAGAGGGATTTTTTCAACTTCGTGACTATCGGAAAATAAGCACAGACGAAGCGCGTCGGGGTCCACTTATTATACGGCTTTGTACCAACTGAACACACAAAATAAACTTCTGTCACTATTCATGCCAAAAGGTTTATTTAATGAGTGCAAAGAAAATAGTTCCCAAAGGTTTTAGTTCACCTACTTTAAAAAAGCGATCGCTTTAGTCGCATTAAAAAAGTATTTTTGTCATGAAAACCTTAACAGATAATTCTGAAAACCTCTGTGCACGTGTGTTGTATGAATATTATATTCTAGCATTAACATTTAAATATGTTGATTGATTGTCGTTTGCGTTCACTGAGTGTGGCTAGCTCCGATAGTTTCTCTCTCAGAGACAGTAGTGGTGTAGCCCGTTGTGACCCCATGGATCTATTATAATATCAGCTGACTGTAGTTAACTAAATGATCAAACTAATTACGAAATGGACAGTACAAAAAACAACTTGATAAATGGAAGTTAATCAGAGCAAAATAAACAAAGAAGGCGCTAACATTGCAATTTAAATGACTAGATAATGTTAGCATAATCCTCACCATTACCTTTTTATCAAATCAAACTTTCTACCAGTTACTGGAAGACCACGACATTCAAGCCAACGTTATAATTGGTCTACACTATGATCCCTGATGGTTTGATGGTGGAATTTTGCCCCTGGTTTATCATTTTCGTCTAAAGTGACAAGAGGTATTTGATTCATTTTGGCAGTGTTTGTCCGAAACATGTGGGCGGGAGTTGACAGGCGGCGGGGGCGTGTCTTAGTGACGTCATTCAGATAGTTCGCTATGGGTTTGATGCTTGAATGCAAAGAAACGCCATAATGTGGGTTCTCCAGGCTTTGTGCAGGAGAAAAATTAGATTAAGCTTCAGGGAGAGGATTTTTAAATAGTCAACGTGGAGCATAGGGCAGCCAAGAGTTGGAAACCTGATCCAATAGGTTTTTCTGAACAAACTTTCGACCAAAACCGGACTCAGAGAAATAAAGCCTTTTCTTCATGACTAGTTATCAAAAGTTATTGATATTGGGTTTTTTTCTTGGGGAAATTTAACCTTTTACTGTTCACTCCTTGAAGAAAGCAGTGTATTTTCTGTTCCATTTTTGGATTTTCTAAGATGTATGACACTAACAATTGGTTTTAACTTTTTTTTTTTAAACCTCTATATTTGTATGCTAAGCCTTTAGCAAATGGTTGAAATGCAGTTTGATGTAAAAGGGCCGAAAACCATGTGAGATGCCCCAAAGAGGTATGTTTCAGATCCAAACTTAAAGTATGTTTAATATTAACGGCTTATTAACCGAGCGCAAGGTCTGTCTGGAGAAATATCAGATGTGTACAGACCGAGCCTTAATGCACAGACCGAGCCTTAATGTACAGACCGAGCCTTAATGTACAGACCGAGCCTTAATGCACAGACCGAGCCTTAATGCACAGACCGAGCCTTAATGTACAGACCGAGCCTTAATGTACAGACCGAGCCTTAATGTACAGACCGAGCCTTAATGTACAGACCGAGCCTTAATGCACAGACCGAGCCTTAATGCACAGACCGAGCCTTAATGTACAGACCGAGCCTTAATGCACAGACCGAGCCTTAATGTACAGACCGAGCCTTAATGCACAGACCGAGCCTTAATGCACAGACCGAGCCTTAATGCACAGACCGAGCCTTAATGCACAGACCGAGCCTTAATGCACAGACCGAGCCTTAATGCACAGACCGAGCCTTAATGCACAGACCGAGCCTTAATGTACAGACCGA